CCCCCAACAAAAAGCCAAAAAGTGAAACTGATTCAGTTTAGCATTTTTTTATTTTTCAATTTGAGAGAAATTTAGTTTTTACAAAAAAACACGCATTTAAAGATGTCTTAGTATTTAGAATTTTAATTCTGAATACTAAGCAGCACATGAACAAAACCTGAAGATCATGTTACCAGCATAATTGTGCATAATCTTTATTTCTTTTTTGTTTGCATCATAATGTTTCAAAGGCTTTGTTTATTTCCAGATTTAAACAGAACTTTAAACCTCTGATATTCATTCTGCATCTAAAATGACTGACAGCTTCTGCATCTGCTCAATGACCAAACAGCGTTACAAGCAAAGCAGCTAATCAATTAATGAAGCACACACCCATTTCTCTGCTTTTTGTACAACACACTTGTGTTCTGCTAGTTGTCAAACTCAATGAATATTCTTTGTCACTATTATTTTTACAGCTTCCAGCCAACTCCAGAAGTGCTGAAGGTGAGCAGGAAGGACGTGTGGTGACAAGAAATGCGTGCCCATGTTTATACATGACAGCAAAATGCAATCTGCTTCAGTAATGCAATGAAAATTAAGCATACATTCATGTGAAAGTGTAAACATAAGAATGCATAAAGTGTCATGTACAGAAAGACAATCTGCTGTAATTAATTAATGCAGCACCTCGTGTCTGGAGATGCTGGATTCGCGCTGGCGCAGGGTGTCAGCACACACACACACACACACACACACACACACACACACACTCTCTCACACACCCACACACACAGACACACACACACACACACTCTCTCACACACCCACACACACAGACACACACACACACACACTCTCTCACACACCCACACACACAGACACACACACACACACACTCTCTCACACACCCACACACACAGACACACACACACACACACTCTCTCACACACCCACACACACAGACACACACACACACACACTCTCTCACACACCCACACACACAGACACACACACACACACACTCTCTCACACACCCACACACACAGACACACACACACACACACTCTCTCACACACCCACACACACAGACACACACACACACACACTCTCTCACACACCCACACACACAGACACACACACACACACACTCTCTCACACACCCACACACACAGACACACACACACACACACTCTCTCACACACCCACACACACAGACACACACACACACACACTCTCTCACACACCCACACACACAGACACACACACACACACACTCTCTCACACACCCACACACACAGACACACACACACACACACTCTCTCACACACCCACACACACAGACACACACACACACACACTCTCTCACACACCCACACACACAGACACACACACACACACACTCTCTCACACACCCACACACACAGACACACACACACACACACTCTCTCACACACCCACACACACAGACACACACACACACACACTCTCTCACACACCCACACACACAGACACACACACACACACACTCTCTCACACACCCACACACACAGACACACACACACACACACTCTCTCACACACCCACACACACAGACACACACACACACACACTCACTCTCACACACACACACACACACTCACTCACTCACTCACACACTGTACTTTAGCTGTACTTTATTTAAAGAATACAGAATGTTTGTCAAGCTCAGTTTCTCTTTATTAGCCTCTCTGCAAACAGGAGTGAAATTGAGTTGTTCTCTGATATTTGAATGTGTTTGCCAGCTGGAGGTTCATGAAATCCACACACCGCTTCTGATCAAACCTCACAGCAGTCACGTCTTCCAGATGGCTAGTTCTTAGCCAAATAACCAGCTTTAAAGGGGTCATATGATGCACTTTTTTTCCTTTCTCTTTGAAGTGTTACAAGCTCTTGGTGCATAAAGAAGATCTGTAAAGTTGCAAAGACTAAAGTCTCAAATTCAAAGAGATATTCTTTATAAAAGTTAAGAGTCAGCCACACCCCCCTAAAACGCCTCGTTCTAACACGCCCCCACATGTCTACATCACTATGTGGGAAGATTTGCATAACGCCGCCCTAACCCTAACCCTAACCCAAATATTCAGATGTGTGCAGCACATTTTATGGAGGACTGTGTCCTGATCCTGGGAGAGTAGACTACAATGCCGGCTGGTCTGACTCACAGACTGCAAGTACGTTTTTTTATATTTAAAGGATTTGCCACTGACGATTCAAACGTGAGTTTTGGGCAGTGTAGAGTAGCACTTGTTGTTTGTCATTTCTCCGATCACAAATGCAGACATGGTTTTATGTTTACGCAGCACCATGCAACGCGTAAAAAGACAGTATAAGTCATTATAATCAGTAATTATGTCCCCACTGGATGCAACAAATGCCTGGTTTATAATGGGTTTTAATGTTTTTGTCTCGTCGCTCCGGCTGGACAGGGCATCATCACAGTACGGTGAGGGGCGTAACTTTTCCATCACACGCTTGAGGTATTCAGCCAATCACAACACACTGGATAGCTGGCCAATCACAGCACACCTCGCTTTTCAGACCGATGAGCTTTGTAAGAATCGACACGTTTCAGAAAGGCGGGGCATAGAGGAGAAACAATAATGTACAGTATGTGGAAAATAATGTGTTTTTTTAACTTTAAACCGCATAAACACATTGCATTACACCAAATACACAAAATAATGTTCTTTTTAGCAGCATCATATGACCCCTTTAATAAAGTCTCTTTAAAAACCTGCTGCCAGTGATCCATCAGCTCATAAACAGATACACTGGCAAACCAGCAGCTCCATTATTATTTTGAAATGAATTACTATTATTCAAATAGATTTTTTACCCCGCAGAGTCTATTTTTGTTCACTATACGCAATGAAAAGGCACATCTAAACGGCATGAAGAGATTTGGGTGGTTTCTGTCTGCACTGATAATATCTATATGTGTCCCTGCAGCACAAAAGCAGTGTTAAGTCGCTGGGGGATATTTGTAGCAATAGCCAACAATACATTGTATGGGTCACAATTATACATTTCTCTTTTATGCCAAAAATCATTAGGATATTAAGTAAAGATCATGTTCCATGAAGATATTTAGTAAATTTCCTACCGTAAATATATCAAAACTTAATGTTTGATTAGTAATATGCATGGCTAAGAACTTCATTCAGATGATTTTCTTATTATTTAGATGTTTTTGTTTTTTACCCCGCAGAGTCTATTATTGTTCACTATACGCAATGAAAAGGCACATCTAAACGGCATGAAGAGATTTGGGTGGTTTCTGTGTGCACTGATAATATCTATATGTGTCCCTGCAGCACAGAAGCAGTGTTAAGTCGCTGGGGGATATTTGTAGCAATAGCCAACAATACATTGTATGGGTCACAATTATACATTTCTCTTTTATGCCAAAAATCATTAGGATATTAAGTAAAGATCATGTTCCATGAAGATATTTAGTAAATTTCCTACCGTAAATATATCAAAACTTAATGTTTGATTAGTAATATGCATGGCTAAGAACTTCATTCAGATGATTTTCTTATTATTTAGATGTTTTTGCACCCTCAGATTCCAGATTTTCAAATAGTTGTATCTCGGCCAAATATTGTCCGATCCTAACAAACCACACATCAATGGAAAGCCTATTTATTCAGCTTTCAGATGATGCATAAATCTCAATTTCGAAAAATTGACCCTTATGTCTGTTTTTGTGCTCCAGGGTCACATTTAAAGAAGCGCTCACCTGACGATATCCCACCAGGATCATTCGGACCAGCACAATGTTGATGTTGGTTCCCAGAGACTCATCGTGATAGATTTCATCAACCTGTGGACACAGAAAAGAATGATCTGATGAATAAAAGATTCTTAATCGAAATCTACTGTAAATCTAAAACTTTTGGCCAGTTATGCAGAACTGACTGAAAACCCTTAAAGTCAAAATAAAACAGAATTCAAAAACCATTTCACTACCGACTACTGAACATTTTGGATGAGATCCACAAACATGAAGAACGTGCTGGCATTTTATGCTTTTTTTTTCAATTAAATAATTAAAAACTAAAAATTACAGTTGTTTACAGTGGGAGCAAAGCAAAAAAAAAAAATCAAAACAATTGCCAGGAAAAACTGAAATTATAATAACAAAGTAAATAAAATACACAATAAATAAATATGTTAAATATTTATTTATTTGCTTACTCAGAGACTCAGAGTAATTATTTGAAACATTGTAATGCAAACACTGTTTTTCTGGAGCACTGCGTCTGCGGTTTGCGGTTATGAAGAAGTCGTTTACATTTAAAGAGCAAACTAGACAAACACAGCCGTCCAAAATCACCAAAGACATGAAAGTCAACACTAATGCAAACAACTCACTAGTGTAAATGCTCCAGGAATGAACTTGCACCAACAAACAGTACCAAACAGCACTACAGCAATACTGTTACCATCACAGTACCACCGAAACTAATTATAATTAGACTTTTTTAAATTATTTCTGAAGAAACATGAACGATGCATGTCAATGCAAGATTCGATGCAGTTGCGAACATGTTCTGAGGGGTCGCCAGGTAATTATTTGCATGTCTGACTCACAAACGCTGCACAGAATGCACTTTAATACTTAGTTTTTGAGGTTTCTTCACAAACAAGAGAGACTGTTTGTTTAGGCTCTCGGGAAGGATGTAGGAAAGTGACTGAATGCTGTTTAATGCCGTGCTACGAGCGTCGTCCTGCAGGAGTGGGAACTGTAACGCAGGGAGTGTGACGTGAAAAACAGCCTGACAAACACAGCTGGAAACACACCGAGACTGTCGAGAGATTTCTGTTTCTGGTGGAACATTATTCTGATGGATGCTTGAAACCCAGACGCAGCTGAACGCCTCTGAGACGCACAAGCTCGAATCCACATGCTGTTATGTTCGGAAATGACTCACGTTACATATATGTAACACACGCAAATGCTGCGTTCTCAGTGTCGCCGCAAGGATGCGTTATAGTGAGCTTTCTTCTACGGTGCAACAGTCTAATATGTCATGAGGTTTGTCAAAATTAACTGTACCACCTCTTTTTTGTGCACGTCACCTAGAACAATCATGCGACACTGAAGACTGGAGTAATGATGCTGAAAATTCAGCTTTGATCACAGAAATAAATTACATTTTAAAATATATTCACATAGAAAAAAATAATTTGAAATTATAATAATATTTCACAATATTACTGATTTTACAGTATTTTTGATCGAATAAATGCAGCCTTGGTGAGCACAAGACTTCTTTCAACAACATTAAAAAAAAAAAAATTATTATTCCAATCATTTTGACCGGTAGCGTATATTATTTCACTCGCTCAGAAATACATCAAGTGTTAGTCAATTATTTACGTTTGCATTTGTGTACTTGCGTTTTCTGGCTTTAAAATGAGACCCAAAATGCTGATGCTATTTTAGTATCATTGAGATACTAATATAGTTTTTATTATTTTGAATTACTTTTTGTTTTATATTATTATATTCTGTTCTCATTTAAATTTGAGTCATTTAGTTATGTGTTTTTGTTATTTTTATTATTATTATTTTAATATATCTATATAGTTTTCATTCATTTTTATTTTAGTTATTAATTTTAGTACATGAAGAAAAATAAATTAAAATGAGAAATGTTGCCTTGGCAACTAGCTAAAATATTAAAAGTTTAAGTTTTTTATGTTATATTTTATTTTAGTTAAAGCTTACTTTATTCGAAGTAAAAAAAAAATGTTTTATGGAATTATTTTTAGTTTACTAAGCAAGGACACATATGAAAAAGTCATAAAACCGAAACTAAGAATTCCTTTAAACTTAGTGAAGTCTGAATCCATTTGATTCTGGTGGGAATTTCGTGCAACATCTTCTTTTAAAAAAGCAGCGCACTTCACTACAGCTTATTATTATGCAATGCCAAAAATATCTGACCTACAAAAAAATGCAGTTTGGGCTCAAAGTCTGACACGTGGCACGCAGTTAACGAGCCTCTGGTGTGGAATTTAAACAAAACTCAGCGCTGCATCAATCTGGACGTGTTCAATCGCTGCCGCACCGTCCGCAAGACATGTCAGCACAACCTCGGCTCGGAGCGCAGCGCACGCAGCCAGAGGGAAAACAGCCGGGATGTTTTTTCCATATATCAGGAAAGACAGAACATTCAAACACTTGATCCTGCAGCCGAGGTCATGGAGTTTACAAATGCATTCTGGTCAAACACACAGCCGTCGTTTCCTCTCGGCTCTGTTTTTGTGCCTCATGCTGGTTTCACTCAGTGTGGCTGAAATTTAACAGCGGTGAAGGTTGAAGATCAGCCTGAGGAATATGGGTAAGATAGCGCTGGAGGAATCGGCTGAGGTTAAATCCTCTTGAGTTACTCGTCCTCTTGATAAAGTCACCTTTACAGCACATCTGCAATAACACGACTCAAGTTTTGCAGTTTTTCCACACACTGAAGAGAAAATCAATACAAAACAGAGGAGGACAATAAATGCACAATAGCAAACACTATCAAAAACTGTGCAAACACAGCATGATGCACTAAAGTAGAGCTGCACGATTAATTGAAATAAAACCGAAATCACAAAGACTGCATAATAAACATTCGCTGCATGTTTTAAAGTGAAACAATCATCTTCCCATAATTGTAATGAGAATGAAAAATGTTTTCTATCAGAATAAAAGTTTGATGGTTTAACATTTGAAAATTATAGCCATAAATATTGGTTCTTTGATTTTACAGTTGTAAAATTAAATTATTTATTTTTTATTAATTACTTTAAGATTTTTTATTTTGCAGTGAAATAATAAAATAGTAATATTTCTTATTTGGTTTAATTGAGTATTTCTGGAAAGCATATACTTTTATATTTTTATTTAGTAATAATAATAATAATAATCATTTTTTTCTGTTATTATAAAAAATAAATAATTATGTATGTAATTATGTACCTGCACTTGACTCCAAAAAGGCTGAGAAGTAATATTAATGTTAAATAAAACATTCTGAAGAACTACTTGAAATGACACCGTGTAGCGTTTCTGCAGCAACATCTCTCAACTTGTGCCCTTTATACATTATGAGTAATTATAATGATTCACATCACCACGTTCACTCCGCTCAGCCCGTGCTGTCTTATACCAGAGCAGAAATAAACTCACGGGCCACTTCCGTCACATCTGATTTAATGAGTTCTGAGGACTCGACTGAAAAACATTCTATCAAAACCATTTCTATTCTGGCAACACTCGCAAACAGGTTCACATCAGCAATACGACATTTCCAAGTAAACCTGGATATTCAGCAGAAGAATGCAGTACAGCAACACTGAACCCCATTGACTTATTGACTTATTAAACTTGTTTAATTGTACATTACATTTATGCATTTGGCAGACACTTTTATTCAAAACGGCTTGCATTGCAGTTAAAGGAATAGTTCAGGCAAAAATAAAAAGTTACTGAAGTTACTCCCCCTCAAGTCATCCGAGATCAGGATGAGTGTGTTTCTTCATCAGATTTGTAGAAATGTAGCATTGCATCAGTGTCTCAGCAATGGATGCTCTGCAGTGAATGGGTGCCGTCAGATAAATATTAAATATTGTTTTATTATTATAGCCATACCGATATAATTTTGGTCAAATTGCGCAGCCCTACAAACAAGAATAGAAATGTTATCAGAAAACTCTCAGCCCTACAAAATCTGCCCCATCTACCAGTTCACATCAATTCACTACAGAGAGTCTCTTGGTAATAAACGTAAACTGACAGGAAAAACAAATCCTGCACTTGACTCCAAAAAGGCTGAGAAGTAATATTAATGTTAAATAAAACATTCTGAAGAACTACTTGAAATGACACCGTGTAGCGTTTCTGCAGCAACATCTCTCAACTTGTGCCCTTTATACATTATGGGTAATTATAATGATTCACATCACCACGTTCACTCCGCTCAGCCCGTGCTGTCTTATACCAGAGCAGAAATAAACTCACGGGCCACTTCCGTCACATCTGATTTAATGAGTTCTGAGGACTCGACTGAAAAACATTCTATCAAAACCATTTCTATTCTGGCAACACTCGCAAACAGTTTCACATCAGCAATACGACATTTCCAAGTAAACCTGGATATTCAGCAGAAGAATGCAGTACAGCAACACTGAACCCCATTGACTTATTGACTTATTAAACTTGTTTAATTGTACATTACATTTATGCATTTGGCAGACACTTTTATTCAAAACGGCTTGCATTGCAGTTAAAGGAATAGTTCAGGCAAAAATGAAAAGTTACTGAAGTTACTCCCCCTCAAGTCATCCGAGATCAGGATGAGTTTGTTTCTTCATCAGATTTGTAGAAATGTAGCATTGCATCAGTGTCTCAGCAATGGATGCTCTGCAGTGAATGGGTGCCGTCAGAATGAGAGTCCAAACAGCTGATAAAAACATCACAATAATCCACAGCACTCCAGTCCATCAGTTAACATCTGGAGAAGACAAAAGCTGAGACAAATCCAGCATTAAGACGCTTTTTAACTAAAAAAAAAAAGTTACTGAAGTTACTCCCCCTCAAGTCATCCGAGATCAGGATGAGTGTGTTTCTTCATCAGATTTGTAGAAATGTAGCATTGCATCAGTGTCTCAGCAATGGATGCTCTGCAGTGAATGGGTGCCGTCAGAATGAGAGTCCAAACAGCTGATAAAAACATCACAATAATCCACAGCACTCCAGTCCATCAGTTAACATCTGGAGAAGACAAAAGCTGAGACAAATCCAGCATTAAGACGCTTTTTAACTAAAAAACATTGAGTCCATAATCCATAACTCTTCCTCCAGTGAAAAAAGTGCATCTGCTGTTGTCTCTCACATCACAATCCAGCCACATATGTGTTTAGAGCTGTTTAAACGCTGCTTGATCTGTGCAGATTTCTCTCCTGATTCACACCAGAACACTTTTTCACTGGAGGAAGAGTTATTATGGATTATAGACTCTATGTATTTGAGTTAAAAATGTCTTAATGCTGGATTAGTTTCAGCTTTTGTCTTCTCCAGATGTTAACTGATGGACTGGAGTGCTGTGGATTACTTGTGATGTTTTTATCAGCTGTTTGGACTCTCATTCTGACGGCACCCATTCACTGCAGAGCATCCATTGCTGAGACACTGATGCAATGCTACATTTCTACAGACCTGATGAAGAAACAAACTCATCCTGATCTGGGATGAACTGAGTGTGAGAACATTTTCATTTTTGGGTGAACTATTATTTAAGGTACACATTTTACTAAGTTCATGCATTCACTGGGAATCAAGCCCATGACCTTGGCATTGCTAGCGAGTGTGAGTTATATATTTATGTAAATATAAAATGCACAAGTGAATCGTTCACAATAAAATCAGGAATGTGCATTAATGTGCAATTCATTTAAGTGGAGTATTGAAGGAGACTGCGTTTTGTTAAACAAATCGAGATATGAAAAAGCCGGTTTCTATACACCTGTCAGCAATGCAACAAACTTTAAACTTCACAACTAGCTACAAAAAACTCTCCCTCCGTCTGGAAAACACACATAGGCTGTAATTACGTCTAGGCTCGGGTCGCAGACTCTGCACGATGCAGTCGGCATCCCACCACGCGGACACTTGCCTGGAATGATGCGAGCGGATGTTCTGATCCAGACTCTTTCAAGCGTCCTACAGATTGATGTCAGCACCAAAGGAGACGTGCAAACGTGAGCGTCTCCTATTTGTAAACGTGTTTGCGAATTTACGAGGTGCGACCCTGTCCGACGACCTTCGCGAGAGGCTCGTTTGTGTTTATTTATGGCAGAAGGCCCAAGTGAGCTCACCTGCAGCTCTTGAAAGCCGTCTCAGTCTCTACAGGACACACATACACACATCTGACCATCAGTCACAGGCTAACGTGAATGTCTGACAGCCCCCTGCATGTAAAAACACAATTTCTCTGCCTCTGACAGGAGGTGAACAGAGCCTAGAGATGAAAATATGACGGCTAACGCAACAAACCTGCATGAACTGCACTGACCTCAAATCTAGCTTAATGAGTACTATTTAGCATGTGGCTGCTTATCGAATGTTTTGACTGAGGCTAATCGCCTGATGTAAGGAGTAGACTAGTTGAAATCGCTCCTGAATGCTGAACAATGCAGCAGTTCTCTGAAGGTGTTGAGCATCTCTCGCTGGTGCACAGCATCACACCGACGCAGGACGAAACTAGGCCGTCTCTCAACACATGCAACAACGCAAGCATTGTCCGCAGGCTCTGTGCTGTCCAGAAAACAGTCTCCAGGTGGTACGACACCCACAATGCCGAGCAGAGGAGCTTAACGCAAAGTGGAGAGTGATTTATCTCGCTTCTGCATGCCATACAAACAGGATCCAATAATGATGAAACACAGTTGCTTTATATTGCTAATATATATAGTTTTTATTAATTAATTTCAATTAAATCGTTTAAATTAGGTTTTTTTCCTGTTTTTATTTTATGTGTTTGTTATTTTTATTCGTTTCTTTTTAATATGATATCTTTTTTTTTATATATATATATATATATATATATAATTTTATTGTATCGAGTTTAAATGAAAATGAGAAATGTTTCCTTGGGAACTAGCTTAATTCGATACGTTTTTTAAATATTTTATTTCAGTTAACATTTAGTTTTTATTAATTCATTTTAATTAAATTTTTTTCTGTTTTTATTTTAATTTTTAAGTTTGTGTTTGTTCATTTTTTATTCGTTTCTTTTTAATATGTCTATATAGTTTTTATAATTTTTTATTTTATTTTTAGTAATTTTATTGTATCGAGTTTAAATGAAAATGAGAAATGTTTCCTTGGGAACTAGCTTAATTCGATACGTTTTTTAAATATTTTATTTCAGTTAACATTTAGTTTTTATTAATTCATTTTAATTAAATTCATTTTTTTCTGTTTTTATTTTAATTTTTAAGTTTGTGTTTGTTCATTTTTTATTCGTTTCTTTTTAATATGTCTATATAGTTTTTATAATTTTTTATTTTATTTTTAGTAATTTTATTGTATCGAGTTTAAATGAAAATGAGAAATGTTTCCTTGGGAACTAGCTTAATTCAATAAGTTTTTTAAATATTTTGTTTTAGTAAAAATATCTACCTTTACAATAAAGTCTCGTTTATTAACATTAGTTAACCACATTAGTTAACATGAACAATAAGCTATAGTTCTAAAGCATTCGTTCATCTTATTTTAATGTTAATTTCTACATTTACTAATACCTTTTTTAGTAAATCAAAGGTTATATTGGTTATTATTAGTTAATGCATTGTGAAGTAACATGAACAAACAATAAAGAATTGCATTTTTATTAAATAACAGAAACAAAGATTAATAAATGCTGTGGAAAAAAATGTATGTATCGTTGTTCGTTAATTAATGCATTAACAAATAAGAGCTTTTTGTAAGTGTTATCACATGAAGAGGTCTAAAACTTCATTAAATATCTCAAGCCTGCTCTGAACAAGCAAATACTGGCTGATCAGCCAATGATAGAAATGATGAAGAGGAAAGAAAGCGTTTTCTTGTTTTTGTTTTTTAAACATTGTGTCTCACACCATGAAGCTCAGCGCACAAACAAACATCGCAGAGACTCTGTGAATGTGTGTGTTTAGCTGTAATTTGAGGACTGAACTGTCACGAGAAACGAGCAGAATCTGAAAAACTCCCTTTGGGAATGTCTCCAAAAATAAAGAAAACCTGCGATTACAAAAACGGCTCACAGGTCTGTTCTGACAGGTCGCTGACAGCAGAGAAAAAATATGCTAAATGCTAAATGCAAAAAAAAAAAAAAAAAAAGGGCCTTGATCTACAACTGTAGATCGTCTCTATTTAGAGAAAAAAACACTCACACAACTGTTCAATTCTGCAGATCCACAAACATTCAGTCAAAACACACTCAACAGAGGAAACATCAGACTACATTACCAGCTGAGGTCATCTCTGGTCCGACTGTTGTATGAGTGCTGCTGATGTTAGTAACAGCTGAAAAAAAATGATGACTGATAAATATTAATGAATCAACGATCACACAAACAATACAAAGGGCTCAAGTAAATATAATACGACTAAAGACAAGTCAGTCAACGGCAACAGCTTGAGCTGCAAAAAAAAAAGTGTTACGAAACAATAAACATTCATTATAAAACAAGGATTTCTGCTTTATTTTAGCTGTGGCTGAAGCGTCCCAGATCCCATTATTCATAAGACAGCCTAATGAATGTAGACGTGAAACATTAAATGCTGTTTTAAAGTGTAAAACAGCATGCATTTTGCATTTCAGAACAAGGGAAGTGCTTAGAAACAGAAGAAACCAGTTGTCAGTTTTGATGTTTAAAGACTCAATATTTATTATCATAATTTTTTTTATATAATAGTATTAAAAAGTGACTATTTTACCCAATATTTGTGTGCCTCAGTGTTATTTTAGTATCACTGAGATACTATTATAGTTTTTATTCATATTTTTTTTTTATATTTTCCATTTTAATTTTAAAGTTTTAGCTATTTAATTGTGTTTTTGCCATTTTTATTAGTTTTATAATTTTTTCAATTATGCCTATATAGCATTTTATAAATTTTTATTTCAGTTTTAGTTTTAGTTATTTCAGTCCATCAGTCCTATTTTTAAAAATATTAATAGTTTTTTATTAATATTTTTGGATCAGTTTTTGTTTTTTTATTTTCAATTTTCATTTCAATTTTAGCTAAAGTTTTAGTTATTAAATTGTGTGTTTTGCCACTTTTATTAGTTTTTTAGTACATCAAGTTAAACTCAGTTTTATTTTATCATTATTATTATTATTTTAGTTTTAGTTCAGCTGAAATAGTTTTTATTTTTATTTAATTTTAGTTAAGATTGGAATAATTTTGCTGTGTTTTTTGTCATTTTTATTTATATATATGTCTATGTAAATTTTAATATTTTTTTTTTCCCGTTTTAATTTGAGTTATTTTAGTACATCAAGTTAAACAATTAAAATGAGAAATAATTGTATGTTTTATTTTATTTCAGTTAACATTTATTTCAAGTCATCTTTTTTTTTCTAATGGTTTTATTTCTAGATAACTACAGTATATTTATGCTTTTAAACCAGCAGCTCAATAGGTTTATTTAACATTTATTAATATTTAGCATGAAGAATGCAGTATGCAGAACCGAAGCCAGAATGGCAGAAAGAGAAAATGATCAAATCAAACTCTAAATGTGTAACTAAAGGTCAGAAATCTCAGACACCAGAAGGTCGAGTACAAATTCTATTGCAGCAAAAGAAAGGCACAGGCGAGGTAAACATCATAGCGGAAAAACAACGGAGACCTCTGGCACATCTCTCCATAAAACTCAAGACATATGGTATTTACATTGACGTTCTGCCATAATTTCACAGACGTCAGAGCTGAACGAGCTGCGGGCCGGTCTAGACTTTGACTACTGACCATTATTATTCTCTCTCTGGATTCCTCTGATACAGGTGTGGAGCATTAAAGCACCGTGCAGCTGCAAAACTGCAGGATATTTCAAGGGTTTTGCCATTTATGTTATGATTATTAGTCTTCTTACAGGCTGCATCACTCCACTTCATATTGCATCTAACAAAGCCTTTAATAAGTTCTTCGTCTTCTTGTTCCGCTCAGTGTTTCTCCATCACTCTCGTGTGAATCTGTTATAAAGCACTCGTGTCCTACATGGAAACATCTATCACAGGATATCACTATTTTAGTCCATATATATACAGTGGGTACGGAAAGTATTCAGACCCTCTTAAATTTTTCACTCTTTGTTATATTGCAGCCATTTGCTAAAATCATTTAAGTTATTTTTTTTTCCTCATTAATGTACACACAGCACCCCATATTGACAGAAAAACACAGAATTGTTGACATTTTTGCAGATTTATTAAAAAAGAAAAACTGAAATATCACATGGTCCTAAGTATTCAGACCCTTTGCTCAGTATTTAGTAGAAGCACCCTTTTGATCTAATACAGCCATGAGTCTTTTTGGGAAAGATGCAACAAGTTTTTCACACCTGGATTTGGGGATCCTCTGCCATTCCTCCTTGCAGATCCTCTCCAGTTCTGTCAGGTTGGATGGTAAACGTTGGTGGACAGCCATTTTTAGGTCTCTCCAGAGATGCTCAATTGGGTTTAAGTCAGGGCTCTGGCTGGGCCATTCAAGAATAGTGAAAAATTTAAGGGGGTCTGAATACTTTCCGTACCCACTGTATATAAGGATATTTCATATCACTTGCATCATTGCATTGTCCAAATGAAGGTCCATGGGACAGTCAGACATGGATTCTCTGTAAATAATTAATGCACAGAGGCTTTTGCAGGAAACGAAGACCAGACAAAGTGACGGTTTAGTGTCTGAGTTTCTAAGGACATGTATTGAGGATGTTTACATCACAGTACATGAATATGGTGATCATTCAATATTAAACGTGTTTAAATGTGTTTTAAAGACGTCTCTTCTGCTCATCAAGGCTGCATTTATTTGATTAAAAATACAGTAAAAACAATAAAATTGTGAAATATTATTACAATTTGAAATAGCTGTTTTCTATGTTAATAGTTATTAAAACATAATTTATTTCTGTGATGCGCAGCTGTATTTCCAGCATTATTACTCCAGTCTTCAGTGTCACATGATCTTCAGAAATCAGTATAATATGCTGATCTGCTGCTCGAGAAACATTTCTGATTATTATCAATGTTGAAAACAGTCGTGCTGCACAATATTTTTGTGGAAACTGTGATGCATTTCATTTTTCAGGATTCACAGATGAATAGAAAGTTCAGAAGAGCAGCATTTATTTGAAATAGAAATCTTTTAGAACATTATAAATATCTTCACTGGCACTTTTGAGCAATTTAATGCGTCCTTGCTGAATAAAAGCATTAATTCCTTTAAAAAAATATGTCTTACTGACCCCAAACTTTTAAAAGGTAGTGTATATTAAAGTACTATGATATTACCATCACTGTGTCATGGCACCAAACAAACAAATTAGAAATCAATAGAAGGATTTGCGATAAATAACCGGACGAGGCCTTCACAATCTGTCTGGCCAGTGAAAGATCTTTAGCTTTTTCTCTATACAGAGTCTTTGGACCGGACCTGACCTGTGAAAGCAGATGCTCATGTTGGGTTCGACTGCTGACGCTCTGCAGAAGTGGAACAGAATTGAAAGCACTTTTATAGTAAAAGATCTCTTTAAGACTTCTTCCAGTGAATCCATGACAGCTTCCAAAGTTCCTGCTTCAGCAGCTTTCGAGTTCAGCACTTCAGTAATGTGCATTTAAATTCACAGAACGGCTCTCAGACGCTTCCCTTCCGTCACAGAGCAATACATCTGACTCTGCAGGCTTGCTTGATTCCAGTTGCGTGTGTCAGTAAAGATGTGGCAACACTTCAATGTCTAAGCTAAGATGTATATTGTACAGTCTGACAAAAAATGTTTATTGAGGTCAGAATCAGCAATCACATCTTTTCATGCAGTACGTCTCAGATACGTCACATTTAATCAAAATTAAACTGAAATTGCGAAATAGAATTTAATTTATATATATTATTTTATATTTCAAAATGTTTTAATTATAATGTTTTACTTTTTATATTTGTGTACATATTAAAGTATAATATTTAGAATTATAATTGTACAATTATACTGTACAATAAAATTATATTTTTGTTATTATTATTATTTATTGTTCTAAAATACTCAATTCTTATTTCAATTTAGTAATAGTAATAATCAATTAAAAGTAATGAATTAATACAATTAATAGTCAAAATGCATATACATAAATATTTTTTGTTTGTAAATACTTTAATATTTCTTATACTATTTTAGTAATGATAATAGTAAAATTAAAAGTAATAATAGTAAAATGATCATATTTAATGTTTTTATATTTCTTATTATTATTTAGTAATATTTCATATATTTTTTTAAAATTGTATTAATTCATTATAATAATTTTTTTGTCATACTGCTGTATTATAATTAATATTTTTGTCCAAATTGTGCAGCCCTAAGAACAAACACAGTAAACTAAATCACAATCACAATTTTAATCAGGATAAAAAAACTTTTTTTTTCATAACCTCTGCTTACCTTCATTGTGAAGGTCATCTCGCCTCTGATCCTTGTCCCTTTTGATGGCCGACCTTCGGTAGACCACATGGACGCGACCTTTGACCTCCACCTCCTGCTGGCCTTTCTGCAGCGGCTCGATGAAGAACTCTTCATCATCAGTGCGAATCAAGCCTGCCTGAAACCACACAGAGATCCATCAGACAAACACGGACGACCAGAGACAAAGCACATTAAACGAGCACATCCACCTCGAACTCCTGATTTTATTATTATTATTAAACAAGCAAAGCAAAACCTGGACATTTTCAATCAGAATCACAATTTTAATCAGAAAATCCACAATTAGATTTTCCACCTCTCCTCAACACACATAAATTGAGATATTGTGGTCAGGAATGAGCTTAAAGTTTCGGGAAAAAATCTAACCAAATCAAAACCAATAAACAGTGACACCAGTAACAAAAAACGACTTCAGTCAACTCAACCGAACACTTGTACGAGTACAGAAGGAGTACAGCGCCTTTCCTTTGTGTTTAAAATACTATCAATCTGTCGTTTCAGGCTGAATGTGGCCAAGAAACAACAACAAGAAAAGCATCCACAAGCTTTTTTTGGCAGGAATGCTATAAATACACTTTGACCGATCCAGACCGTGATGGACTGTGTTTAGCCTGCATTTACCAACAGCACAAACTCCTCCTACCTGTGACTTCAAACTTTATATATTTGTATATAAGCTTAACATCAGCAGAGGTTGAAAGATGCTCAATGAGTGTCAAAATTGTTCAGAGGCCAGAAGACGGCAAGAGCCGAGGCTAAAGCTCTTCTTCTCCTGCTCATGCTGCTCTCATGGAGTGTAAACTGAACTCCGAGTGTTTAGACAGACGTCTGCTTAGTGGATGGAGCCCAACATCTGCACCGAACCACTTGCCTGTCTAGAGCTCTTACCTGAACAAAGGCAGAAGGAAGCACTTTCATCTGGAACACAAAGACCGTATGTGGGCCATAATGTAGGCCAGGAAACACAAAGCCCAAACGGTCATTATTTTTCATTATTGTAATCTTTGCTGCTGTTGCAGCTCTTTCTCCAGGATTCTGCAGGATTTGACATCGGCAAAGCACATAAGATTCTCACAAAAGAGTCTTTTCACACCAGACGGTAAACTATCACCCAAAACACACTGGCAAGTGTCCTGAAAACCACACTAGCATCACGGAAGCGAGATTTGCATGAACAAACATCACTTAAATGTACTTCATAACATGAAAATATCTAGCTAAAGCATGCAGAAACCCACAAGTTCGAGTTAAGATAGTGAGGACACCGCCTGTCCATCATTTTCCAGTCCCTCTTGACAATATGAGTCAAAAAGCAAGCTTGACACCTCTTTAAGCACGAATATACACTAAATTCCACATATCAGCTCCACTGTCTTTGAAGGTGGATATTTATAATATAGCGAGACGCTCCGTCCAGCCCCATACGGCCGCGAGCATTTCACACACGCAAGCTAGAAGAATCACACATGAGCAAAATGGCTAGAGATTATATAGTAAATTCAAAAAGAACAAAATAAACCAGTGCCAAATTTACACTGTAAAGGTGACACAGAAGCGCTTCTGAAGTGGCATTTATACTGTTTAAAGTGGCTCAAAGGTGACATAAATGCATTTTATGCAATTTACAAAGCTATTACAACTGTGTACTTTGATATTAGGAGCTGAGATGGATCAGAGCAGGTATAATTTAGTCTGGCTTTTATGCAGCATTACATGTTTACACAGAATTTTGAGCAGGCACAGAGCAGCCTTAACTTGGCTGTGTAAAGATGGCTTTGGTTTACACTGTAAAGGTGGCACAGAAGCGCTTCTGAAGTGGCGTTTAGGTGTCTTTACAGTGGCTGTTTAATGCTGCTCAGAGGTGGCATAAATGCATTTCCACAGCAATTACAACTGTATAATTTCATGCTAGGGGCTAAAGTGGGTCTGAGCAGGCTTAATTTAGTCTGGCTTTTCTGCTGCATTGCACCTTTAACTGAATTTTGAGCAGGCACAGAGCAGCATTAATTTTGCCATGTAAAGAGGCCTTTAGTTTACACTGCAAAGGTGGCACAAAAGCGCTTCTTGAGTGGCATTTAGGTGTCTTTACAGTGGCTGTTTAATGCTGCTCAGAGGTGGCATAAACGCATTTTAAGCAATTTACAAAGCAATTACAACTGTATACTTTGATATTAGGAGCTGAGGTGGATCAGAGCAAGCATAATTTAGTCTGGCTTTTATGCAGCATTACATCTTTACACAGAATTTTGAGCAGGCACAAAGCAGTCTTAACTTGGCTGTGTAAAGGTGACTTTAGTTTACACTGCAAAGGTGGCACAGAAGCGCTTCTGAAGTGGCATTTAGGTGTCTTTACAGTGGCTGTTTAATGCTGCTCAGAGGTGGCATAAATGCATTTCCACAATGAGCTAAGGTGGATCAGAGCAGGCTTAATTTAGTCTGGCTTTGATGTGGCATTGCACCTTTACACTAAATTTTGAGCAGGCACAGAGCAGCCTTAATTCGGCTGTGTAAAGATGCCTTAGATTTTCATTTCCAGAAACAAATATCTGTGTTTGCAAACAGCAAGTTTTGTGTATATTTAGGAATGAAAGCTATTAGGAGCTTCTTCTCCACGACACTCAATGTCTAAAAGTGTTAAAACAGCTTAAAGATGGTAAAATTGGAGTAAAAATGAAACAACCAATAGCAATTCAGTATGCAAATGGCTGTAAGAAAACAGACCAGTTGGAATCGAGGATTCAAATATTACATCATCACTGTTGCATTCTGAAAGAATTCTGTCAAGTCAAAGTCAAAGGGAGATTTTCTAAGTTTCTTAAAAAGTATCATGTTTACAACAACCAGAAATAGATGCAGGTCCAAGACTGAAATTATCTGCAATATAAAGTTTAAATGGAGTGTGTAAGTAAAGTGTTTTCAGCTGAATTAATTGCAGAAATGTAATAATTAGAGTCTATATCTGGGGGATTGAGACTGTAAAATCAACCATCCGAGTCTGATTTCTGATGTGACTTACTGAAGAAGAAGATGCAATACTGTAAAATAGAGCGGGTTTTTCTAAAAACTGCAAGACAAACAATAAGACAAAGAAAAGGCAAGCATCCAGTGGTGAGAAAACCCCAAAGTCTTTCGTTATTGTCACACCACAGCAAAACATGCAATTTGAGGGAGATTGTTTGTCAACCTATAATTTGTAGTCAGGATCTCAGCCTTCTGTTTGAAGTAAACAATTCTGAGAGCCAAACATTTGGACAATGTTATGTTTTCTACTGACATTTCTACATACAAGATAAAAAAAAAGATATTAATACTTTTATTCAGCAAGATGCATGAAATTGATCAAAAGTGCCAGTAAAAACATTTATAAATAATGTTACAAAAGCTTTCTATTTCAAATAAATGCTGTTCTTCTGAACTTTCTATTCATCTGTGAATCCTGAAAAATAAAATGCATCACAGTTTCCACAAAAATATCGTGCAGCACGACTGTTTTCAACATTGATAATAATCAGAAATGTTTCTTGAGCAGCAGATCAGCATATTATACTGATTTCTGAAGATCATGTGACACTGAAGACTGGAGGAATGATGCTGAAAATACAGCTGCGCATCACAGAAATAAATGACATTTTAACATAGATTAACATGGAAAACAGCTGTTTTAAATTATAATAATATTTCACAATTTTACTGTATTTTTTATCAAATAAATGCAGTCTTGGTGAGCAGAAGAGCTTTTAATAATATTTTTATTCTCACGGACATGACATTTGGACAATGATTTGAAATTTGCATTCAAGGACAAATGTTAAGGTTATCAGTAATCGATCAGTAATAATTAGCTATAATATCAGTGTCTAAGCTGTAACCAAACTTTCAGAACATTGTGCACATTTCGTCTAAATCCCGCATGAACCTGCAGTCTTGCCTGACACTTTCTAATGGATTATTGTGATCGGCATCCAGAGCAGCATCAGTTATCACTGCGGGCGAAGAACATGTCGTACATCAGACGGAGACATTCACACTAATTAACGCAGATCACAGCAAGCGCTGACGGACATAAAGCTCTCACACCACGACTTCATCCTCCGTAATCCCATCCGTCGACACAACAGGAGTAACTACACATCAGCACTGCGCTCTCAACACTCTCAGGCCTCAAAATAAAAAGGCTTCATATTTAGTGTAATATCAGCCTTCACACGGGGCTCCGGTTTACAGGAATAATTCAAGCACTTCTGTCCTCATTTACTCACACTCATGCCGTTCCAAACCCGTATGACTGACGCCATCAAGGAGAATAAATGATGACAGAATTTTTGTTTTTTTGATTGAACTATTTCTATAATTACTCCATTGGGGTCTGACATGGAAACATAATAAATCATGTGCATCGGTTTTCCCAGCGGGTCACATGCCGCCGGTGTCAAACTCAGTTCCTGGAGGATCGGAGCTCTGGAGAGTTTAGATTCAACCCTACTTCAACACACCTGATCCAGCTATTCAAGACCTTCAGGCTTTTTTGAAAACTACATGGTGTGTGTGTGCTGGAGCAGGGTTGGAACTAAACTCCGCAGGGCTCCGGCCCTCCAGGAACTGAGTTTGACACCATGGATTTTATGGAAACACAAATAGCCACTTCTTGATATGCTTAATACTCCTGTTTCCAGCACACATACAGTACATACATCACACCAAATTAGACCTTATGTCACCGCTGCTACATCTACATTCACTACAGTACACACTCATCAAGATTTAAACAGTGTCACCTGCGTGTAAACAAAACAAAAGGTGCAAACTGTGATGTTTGGTTCATGAACAAATTATTCTTATGAACCGATTCAAAAGAATTGACGAAGCAGGTTTGAGTTCGCGGGTTGAATCAGATTCACTCGGTGATTCGTTCTGAGCATTTCACAACTGATTCCCTCAACTAAACCAATTAGAAATTAACCATTACTGTGCTGATTAGTTGTTTAAAAGACAATGTGTAAATAAAGATGTTTGATTCACGAACAATCTAATTCACTTTTTAATCAGTCAGTGAATCGTTCTGAGCTAAATCAAACTCAGACTCTTGGTTCAGTAAGGGAGTCAGTTGTGAACTGC